AGCCCCCTCCTGGCAGCCCCCTCCTGGCAGCCCGCTGTAATTGCAAGCTCAGTGCACAGTGAGTGAAAGTTCAGGTCACCATAACCTAGGAGAACAAACGTTGCTGTGCAAAGGTGCAAAAGGGAGAAAAGACAGACGGACTTAGTCCAAACAGGCCATACCTCCCGCTCCTTGAGTTATCTTGTGTCTCCCCCGCTTCTCCCACCTGATTTCTTCCCTTCCCCTCTCTCTCTCCTTTTCCCGTCTGTCTGAGAAGTGTCTGGCTTAGCCAGCCACAACAGTATATTTTGCAACAGTGCTGCGAGCCTCTGACCAGAAAGGCAGCGAAATGCAAGGTCCTAAACAGCCCGTCGCTGGTACAAGTTTGCCAGGTCTCAGGGTGGCTGATCAGATCGTGGGCTGGGCCTGGGGTTTCCCAGCAGCGAGGATGCAAGTGAGAGTTAACACCAGAGACTGAAGCTGCATTTTCTCTCATCGCTGTTCTTCTCTCTCCCCTTTTGTGGGTCTTTGTCTTGTTTTGTCCTCTAGGAAACGGGATGGGACTTTACCAGCAGCGCCAGCTCCAGCTCCCCTCAACTAAAGTCATCCCTTTCCCCAAAGACCGTTATTACCGTCTTAACCCCATCGAAGAGACGGTCGGACAAGGGGGGTCTTTGTAAAACCTCTCTCCAGCTAAAGGGAAAGGGAACAAGGGCTGTTGTCAGACTGAAAGCTTTACTCAACCCTTTCTATCCCAAAGGCTCTCACTGGTTTTCCTTCTTTTCTGTACCGTTACTAACAGGTGAAAAGGCTGTTCGACGGCGTGTTGCCATGGTGCTAAACGGGCTCAGGTCTCCGGGTACCAGCCCCCAGACTGGCACCGTTTAATGCTGGACAGTGACTGGGTCACGTTAACGCCTTTGGCTCTTTGGGCCCGCATATTCCATCTAAATTCACACACCAGGCCCTAGCCCGGCAGGTCGGGGAGGAAGCTACCGGCTTGCTGGGATGTAGCTCCACAGATTAGGGGCCTGAATCCCTCTCTTCCTGAGATCTGCCTGGGGTGTTAACAGGCCGGGGGTGGCACTTTGGGGGGCTCTCGGTGCCGCCTGTCAGCCCGAGCCCCTGGGATTGCCTAGGAGCTGGGGTGAGAGCCGCCTGCACCTGCCCCCTGGGGATCGGTTAAGCTGATCTCTGCTCAGAGGCTCAGTGACAGGCATGTTCCAGAGACTAACCCTGACCCAGAACCTCCCAAGCTGCCCTGGAGATGCCAGCCGCCTCCCGCTGTGTGTGCTCGCGGCTCTCCCCAGTGCCAGGCCCTGGTCAGCACAACAGCCGGCTCCTGCCTGGCAGCATCAGGGCTCCCTCCTTCCCCGGGGGCTGGCGCACGCCCATGCCCGCCGTCCCTGGGTGCCCGTGACCCATCATTGCAACTCCACCTGCTGGCGTGCGGGTGTGGTGGGGAGGCCCAGGGAGCAGCTGTGGATGCCGTCAGTGACTGGTATTGGCCTGGCACAGTGGGACAGTGCTGGCAGAGGGCGCTCTGGGTGCAGGAACGGAGGGGAGTTTGCAGCACGCGCCTTTCCGACATTCTGCCTGGCCCCATCAGTTCCTCCGCCCAGCGAGCTCTGAATTCACCCAGCAGGTGCTAACAGAAACCTACAAGGCTGCGAGTGCCCCTGGAATGGCCAGAGGATGTGATCACTACACACAGACCTTGCGATCCCGGCTCACCACTGAGACGTCACAGTCAAACAAGGAGCCGTCTTAGCTACCAGGCCTGCCTCTGCACAGCCTGGGTGGGTCTATGGGCCGGGGAAGGAGGCCCAATGTTACCCTGAAATACTCCCCTCACCAGGCCCTCGGCGCACTCACTGGAGCTGGGCAGGAGTTTTCCAAGGAAACATTTTTTTCCTTAGCGAAATGTCAATTCATCACAACGGAGCTGTCTGTGAAGGGGGGTCCCACCATCGCCAGAGGCGAATGTTTTTATAAAGAATGAAACGGGTTGAAATGGAAACAAAATGTTGCAAAATGATCAGAAGGTTTCGACGGCCCCGACCCGACGTCTCGGTTCGCAAAAACATCTGAGTTCTGGGACGGGGAAAAGCCCCCAAATGGCGAACACTCCCAGGCCGGGAAAACCACTTCCCACTCCGGCAGAACTAGCCCTTGGGGTGCAGCGGGGGAGTCACGGCTCAACTGGCCACAGGAGGGCGCCGGGACAGGCCAAACGCAGGGATGGAAATGGCAAACTAAGGTGCCGGTGTCTGCTCTCCGTCCTGGTCACAGCTGTGCCCTCGGGTACGGGCCTGTGGCCTTGTGCCTCTCACAGGAGCTCAGCCCCTCTGAGCGAGGGCAGGATGTGATGCCCATACTCTGCATCCTCCCTGGCTACCCCCCAAAGGGGGCACAATTCTCAATGCCAACCCACCGGCCTGGGCGCCAGGGGGCCCTGGGGAGCCCAGACAGCCTCACACCCTCAGTCGCAGCACCCTCCTCTCCTCCCATGCTCCAGTTTGTGGGCATCCCTCGCTCGGGCTGCCCAGACCCCTGTATTGCCCCGGCCCATCACTCGTCTCTGCCCCAGCCTGATCCAGACACACAAGGTCAGCACAACCCCCCACTGAGATCAGGGGGCCCAAGCCACCCAGGATCAGCCCTGCTAGCTCCAGGGAAGGCCTTCAGCATACCTCTGGTGCCGTCAGCAGGGCGGAGGTCCCCTCTCCGCCTGGCCTTTCTGTGAATCCCCTGGGTTACGCAGCCTCACGGCAAAATGCACCACAGCCAATCATGTCCTTCCCCCCGGGGGTGAGGTGGCGGCTGTGTCTTGGGCAGTCCCGAATCAGCACCCGGCCCGATGGGGCAAGGGAACCCTCCCTCCCCCGTCCCAGCCTTACCGGGCAGCCCCAGGCCGAGCAGGACGCTGTAGTAAATGACAGGGATGATCCCCTCCACGCAGGGCGACCGCTCCTCCCACTCCAGCGGCTCGGCGTGGCTCACCCGGGCCCCGGCTGTGCTGTTGGGCAGCAAGAGCATCATCCTTCACCATCGGCAGCTGGCGGGGGAAAGTCAAGGGCATCAGAACACACTGCGGGCTCCCCAACCGCCTCTGCTTAGCGCCAGAGCGCTGGGCTCGAACCCTGCCCCAGGGGCATGGCCAGGCCCCAGCAATGCACCTCACACGGCCAAGCACACCCGGTGTCTCCGGACTGGAGTAGAGGAGTTACGTGAGCACGTGTGAGCACCCACGTGTAGGCGCCAGATGCACAATTCATTAGCTGCACACAGCATATTACAAAGTGGGCATTTCCCAAGCTAGCCACGGCCAGTGAAGCTTTGCAGTGATGCTAGCCACGGCCAGTGATGCTTTGCAGAACCTACAGGTCCCCAGTCCCAAAGGTTCCTTTCTGGAGTAATGGGCTGGTGGCCTAGGTCCAGCCCTGGGTGATCTTGGGCTTCTCCCCCTCCCTGTGGTACTTCCCCTCTCTGGGAGGGCTGGGGTTAAGCGCCCAGGCAGGCGAACACTCTCGCTGTTTATCTGCTCAACCCCGTTACCGACTGGGAGAAAACTGGATCAAACCATGTGTGCTGGGGATGCAGCTACGACTTCCCTAACGTCCCTGCCCAGCGCACGGTGCAGTCCTGCTCTGCTGCGCCAGGGACGCTCCAGCCATGCAGACGGAACAACAGCCTGTGGTTATTTTTAGCCTCATCTCGCGGGCCGGGAATATTTGCAGTGGGCGATCGGAGGCGGAGCCAACACAGAGAGCGGGGGGCTTATGACGGGCCCGACTTGGAAGACACCAGTGCCAGCGTTGCAGTTATTCACTCGAGTTACAAAGTGGTCTGCAGGGCCAGGCGGCTCAGGCCCCGGGTCGGTCTTGCAAGGGGCAGGGCGTGGGGAGGCAGATTGGGCCCCTGCAGTGTAGCAGCTCAGATTGACAGCTGGCTCCCCAGGTGCGAGGCCTGGACTGAGCCCTGGTGGGCCCGGTTTATTCACAAAACCACGGCACTTTCGCGATTGGCTGAGACAGGGGATTTTCTAAGCCAATCAGAAGGTAGCCCTGGGGTAAGGGACAGGTAAGTATCTGTCATTACTACAATCAGGGTGAGGTGCTTTCGGATTGGCTGGCCGGCTCGCCCCCCGCTATGCACCTCCCTTTGTTCTCACTGTAGGGAAGTCTAGTAGCGCAAAGTTAAGGGTGCCCGGCGGGATCTGGTGCCCTTCCAGGACATACAGCGCTACGGCCTGTGCCCAGACAATCCGCCCTCTGCCCTCTTCGAGCGATGCCCCAAGACGCCCACAGCACAACCCTGCGCTCAGCCTTTGCGATAGTGCTGGGAACAGGGTGCGTGGCCAGTCTGGGATGGAGCCTAGCGCCTTCTTCGCACGTTTTGTGAAGTTCAGGTGAGCTGCACTGCCCAGCCGCGCCCCAGAAATAACCCCACACCTGGGGGATTTCACAATGCCTTTGGCTTACCCAGCACAACGCCCACACACCAGTGGCACGTCCGGCTGGCCAGCCCCATGGTGCACTACTGACCCACGCTGTACAGCTCTGCTGAAGTGAGGCAAACGGCATGCCGAAGAGTACCCGGGCACCTGTTTCCTTCCATCACACACACGGGGTTCAGGGCAGGTGCTCAGACCCCCCTGCCCCACCACGGGGCAGGGCCCCCCCAGATTGCCCTATATCACAGTCACAGCTCTGCCAAGCTTTGCCACCAAAGTCCTCTACCCACAGAGAGTGCCTGCGGCTGGAGAGCATGCAGCTAAGTCCCAGCGGCTCCTGCTAGCTCGCAGAGGGCAGAGGGAAGGTTGCTGGACCCATTTCTTCACCCTGTGGGGCCTGGTTTTCTGAGGTTTTGCAGAATGGGGCAGGCTGGAAGCACTGGGGATACCAAGGAGCGATCTTAACGCAGTGAATCTTATTGACTCCAGCCCAAGGTCCCAGCATGTGGTGGCCTCATGTCTGGATAATGGTAGCGCCCTGTGGGCCCCAACTGAGAGCAGGGCCCCACTGTGCCAGGCGCTGCACAGCCCCAGAAGGAAGCGACAGTTCCTGCCCCAAGTTGCTCCCATTTGGCCTCTGAAACTGTCAGGGTTTCACACTTCAGGGTCTTGTCCTGCCTCCCGAGCGCAGGGAAACGAACAAGCCAGAAGTGTTACAGCGGAGAACCCATCACGTCAGCAAAACGCTTCAGCCGAACCCCAGACTGGAGCACGGCCCCTGCCAGAAAGGACCCCCCAGCAGCTATGTGCCATGGAGAATCCACCTGACACGCCACCTGCCTGGATTGCAACCAGCCACCAACCCGGGCAGGGAGAATGAAGGTAGGTAGGTAGGTAGGTAGGTAGATAGATAGATAGATAGATGGGGTGGATGGAGATAGATAGATGGATAGATAGATAGATAGATAGATAGATAGATAGATAGATAGATAGATGGGGTGGATGGAGATAGATAGATGGATAGATAGAGTGGGTGTATGGGGATAGATAGATGGATAGATAGATAGCTGATGGGGTGTATGTGGGGATGGATGGATGGACAGACAGATTGCAGGGTAGGTGGGGAGAGAGAGAGAGATAGAGGGGGTGGATGGGGATGGATAGATAGATAGATAGAGGGGTGGAGGGGATAGATAGATGGATAGATAGCTGATGGGGTGTATGTGGGGATGGATGGATGGATGGATGGATGGACAGACAGATTGCAGGGTAGGTGGGGAGAGAGAGAGAGATAGGGTATGTGTCAATCAAATCGGTAAATCATATCTGTATAATCCACCAGGCAAACTCCTAACCCTCCATTCCCACCCAAGAGATTCCTTTATTGACAAGCCGGTAAAATAGGACCCTCTCGCCTGTCTTTAGGTCCAGCCCTTCCCGCGGTGGGCTCTGGCGGGCAGGCTCCGGTCACGTGCCCTGGTCTTGTGTCCAGGGGACGCGTCTTCCCCTCACTCTCCCCCACGCTCACCATCTTGCCCTTGGCTCTTTGACAGCAGCTGGCCCTCGGCTGCAGGGTCTCCAGCGCCCGCTAGACAAACTCCCCAGACTGCCCCGTGGGCCCCACCTGGATCCACGGGCTCTTACCTTGGTGCCCCTCAGCAGCGCCTGTCCTGGGGTCTCTCGCTGGCCTCACGCTACCCGAACAGCTGTTGTCACTGATCCCTGCCCCCCGAGGGCGCGCCCAAGCATCTCACCCCATGCACTGTCACCGGGGAAGTGTGTGCACGGGCTCCTGGCAGCCAGCCTCCAGGGGGAGCGGCTGGAGGAGATGCTAGAGCGTGTGTGTGTGTGTGTGTGTGTGTGTGTGTGTGGGCTGAGCTAATGAAGGCAGGGGAGGGAGCCCCTGGGCAGCGGCAGGGCAAGCAGGATGGGGCCAGAGTAGCCAGGCTTGTCCCCCTGGGCCTGGGATGAAAGTCTCCAAAGGGTGGGGGAGGGAGAGCTGGCAAAGCCCTGGGGATCGGCCCCGCACTGGTCAGGCTGATGGGCAACAGGATCCCCTAAGCCAAGCCCAGAGCTCAGCTGACAACCGGGGAGCGATGCTGATGGGTCGCAGCCAGGCTGCCCGGTTTGGGCCCAGGCCCCGCCCTGGGGAGGGGCTGCCGTTCCCAGGGGCGTGGGGAGGATGGTGGGGGATTCTGGCTGCGCTCAGGGGAGTGAATCGCCAGGCTGCTGGTTAGGATTGTAGCTTTGTTACCTCAGAGCAGCGGCCTTGTTCACCTGCCCTCTGGATGGCCCTCCTCCTCCGCTCTCCCTCTCCCACCCCCAGGGTGCCCCTGCTGGGTTTGGGGGGGGGTCGTTGGGGCAAAGCGGGGGCTGAGACACAGGCACTGGAACCCTAGAGTCACAGAAGGGACTGGAGAGGTCGAGTGGAGCCTCCCTGCGCTGAGGCAGGACCAAGCGTTTCCCCACTGGCAAGGGCCTCCCGGAGCTCCCGTGCACCCTCCTCCCGCGGCAGGCTCAGCCAGGGCTCTGGCGCACACTCGTGCGCATCTGTGCAAGATCACACCCACCCGGCGGGAGAGCTCGCTGGGCGTGCGGAGCGTGTGCCCACCTTGCCACTACAGAGAGCTCAGCTGGCATGTGGGACCCCCAAACCAGGGTGCCTGGCCCCGCACCGAGCGCTCAGGCTGGTAATCCCAGTGCTCAGGTATGGAACCGGGCACTCCCAGGTGGGCTCCCCAGATTGAACCCTGGGTGCGAGGTGTATTCCTTCCCCACACAC